TTTTAAAATTTATTTTTAACCACACATTTATCAATAAAATAATATTTTTCATTACATTAATCATTTTTCCTTACTTTTTAACCATATATTTCTCATCATATCACTATTTAAAATATATTATTTTCTTAATAATATCGATCAAACACACCCTCCATAAGTAACAATAACGTGAATACGAAAATAATTTATAAAATTATTGCATTAAATAAAGAAAAAATGGCGTAAAAAATATTGTATTTCATTAGGGGGCTGTAGAAGGGCGATTAGGTTAGATGAAATGCAATGTTCTTTATGCCATTTTTTCTTTATTTAATGCAATAATTTTATAAATTATTTTCATATTCATGTTATTATTATTTATGGAATAACTATTTTGAAGGCGAGAAGAACGGGTTTAACGGGTCGAGACTATTTTACACTCGTTGTTTGAAAATAAAATTGGGTTTTTGCATTAAATTAGTAGAGAAATTGACGGTAAATGAATGAAATGACTTTTTGGCAAAGAAATGTGGAAATAAAGAGGATAATGCCAAAAATGAAAAGTAATGACTTTTTTGAAAAATAATATTGTAAGGTAGGAACGTTTTGTACTAAATATCTGGGCTTTTCTATTGAATTAACGGATCAACTAACGTTAAGTGAATGGGGGACATTTTTGGTAATGAAAGGTAAAAATAAGGGTGAAACTGTCAAAAAAATTGAAATGTGAGAACGTTTTCTACAATAATATTGAAAAGTATAGATGTTTTGTGCTAATTACCCTTATATAGATTATGATTTTCATTCAACTCCTCACTTTACTTTGTCATTATTAAGTCGAGCAAATAATATTTGTAGTCGTTAAAGTGTGTTTAAAATAAATATAATATATTGTATTTCTAATTGTTTACTTCTTGTTTTGTTAAATGTTGGAACTATTTTAGAGCAAATTATCAACTTGTTTAATATATTGAAAATAATTCATATTTGGTATCATTTGAAATCTAAATTTTAATCAATATTTAATTTTAATTATATATTTTATGGGTACGTCTTTTTAATCGCACATTTCATTAGTTTCTATCAAAAATTATTAAATATCTGATTTCAATACCCATCAATCAGGGGTTAATGATATTTTGACAATTTTATGACTTGAATAAAAAGGCAATGCGAAGCTAAACTCGAAATCTGCGATAGCACTGGGACCTACTCTCAACCATATATTATACAAACTTCAGATCGAATATATAAGCTTATTGGAGTTGGATACCTAATCGCGACGAAGACTATCTAGCTAACCTTACATCATTCTAATCTCGATATGTTAGGCTGGGAATAATGCATGCTTAACAATGTAAATGGGCCAAACTAAATGTTCTCCTTCAATATATGTTGACGAAAAGGGTGATCATTTCGTTAAACCCGACTTGTTCCAAATTGCCAATTGTTTTCAACCATATATGCTAATCCAGGACCTCAAAAATACTCCTTAAGGTCCTAAGTTCTCATGACGTTGCTAGTGTTGCCCTCTTTAGCTAATCAGAATTCGAACAAGTACTTTGAGTAGCCTGATTACCAATGCGCAGTCACGAATTGATTGATAAGACCAAGGCGGTGTTGCTTTCTTGTGCGATATAAAAAGATCATTTCTTCATTTGAAAGATATGCAATTCAACTCCGTTTTACATCTACTAGTATTTCACACTATATTTTTAGGCCGCGCTTTATAAATCCCACAATGGAGGACTTTCGACCATTGCTTCCCCAATTATGTGCGTGGTCGACTAGCTTCATTGTTCTCTTTATTTATTTTTCATATCAAATCCGTTCAATAAATCCTCAAAAGTTGATCAAAAGATACCATGAGCTTGTTTGACATAATTTTTGAAAAGTCAAAATGAGATTTTGAGATTCAAAAGCTGCTTTTTGACCCGTCTCCCTACTTTTATTTAAGTTTTTTTTTTTTGTTAAAATAATTTTTAGAGAAAATTGGTCGAACATGTTTTTTTCTCTGAAATATGAAGCTCTTTTGAAAATTAAGTTGTCACCAAGCACTAAAAGTAAAATAGTAAAGAGCCTCTTTGACAAAATTTTTAAAAAGTCAAAAGAAGTTTATGAGATTCAAAAGCTACCTTTTGAGTTTTGACCCGTTTGCCTAATTTTATATAAGTATATTTTTTGTTAGAAGAATCTTTAGAGAGAGTTGATCAAACATGATTTTGTTTGAAATATGAAGTTTTTAAAAAATTAAGATAACTTTCTCAAACAATTCTTCCATGAGGATTAAAAGTAAAGGCATAAGCTATGCTGAACAACCTAAGTTATTTTTTGTCACCAAGCACTAAAATAGGTCAAACACTACCTAAATTATTGGAAGAACAAAATTGTTGCTCACATCAACTTGATTCAAGCCAGGTTAACATATCTACGATCAAGTTATCATTCCTCCAATTAAAAAAATTGCAATTCGATGGCAGACGAGACACAAAAATTATTCGCACCAAAAAAAATTTCTTTGTTCTTCCAAGAAAAAAAAAAATTGAGTTGAACTGGCACCGCGACAGTTTTCGCGTTTGGCAAACCCACAAAAGAAAGAACCAGCAGTTAACCGGAAAAGGCACCCGGAGGCGGCGCCCGCCGCAGCCTGTGACAAATCAAAGTCAAATGGGCGTCTCAGTTTCCTCATACCGGAGACTCGTCTCTTCTCTTTCCCTAACACCACTGCCACTCCTACGCCGGAAATTCCGATCAGACGCAGCTCTGGAAGCTCTAAGAAAGGCATCGGAAGCACGGACCCCAAACGTAGTCTTGTACAATTACCCCTCTTTCTCCGGCGCGTTTTCAGCTCTCTTTGCTCACATTTACCACTCTCGACTGAACCTCCCTTGCATCATATTGCCTTTCTCTTCCGTGGAACCCTTCAGGTTTTCACTCTCATAGTTATACATTTACTTGTCGATGCCTGCAATATAGCATTTTCTATGTATGGATGCTGTATAGATTATGTGTTTTTGTTATTATTGAATTTTCACGAGTCTCTTTTGAGAAATACCAACAAGACAAGACTTACTCGTTTCGTTTGGTGTCATTGGTTTAAACATTTTGCCCGTTCAATTCTTTGTCGCAACTGTGTATTACTGCATTGAAATCCGTAATCCTTCCTCTCCGCTGCTAATAGCTCTCCATCAAATTTCTTTTGGTAATTAAAGTCGAATTAATCTATATAGACACAGACCAACGTCCAAAGGGTGCTAATTGGTTCAAAACTTGTAACTTCATAATACATGTGGGGTACCTGTTACGAGTCATCTATACAGAGACTATTTTTACACTTTGCTCACGGACACACTCCTGTCATGCTTGCGATATCTATATACTAGTGTGCCAAATGGAATTCGTCTCTTGTTTGCATGAATTTCATTGGAAAATACTGGATTGGCCGACGTAAAACGAGATTCCTCAAAATATAAGAAGCATAGTTTTGAATGTACAATTATCAATGAAAGCTCCACCAAAATTTTCATTCTTCTATTTAAGTTAACAATTCATAAAATTCAGAGTTATTTGACCTCCTCATTCGCTCCTGATTTACCAAATATTATTTCAAATTTTGTCCTTTTCATTTTGCCATAGGATTGAAGATATATCTATTGAAGGATTGAAGAAATGCTACTTTCTAGATTTTATTGGTCCAAAAGGGTTTGCTGTGGAGCTTTCCAGGCGAACCTCATGCACGTATGCAAATCTCGGAATTTGTTTTCAAATAAGCAATATTATTCTTTTCTTCAAAGATATTTGGAAAATTTAGTGGTTAAATCACTAAATTAGAATTTATTGTTATTAGAGTAATTGGTTTTGATCATCGGAAATCAGCGCATGCCATAATACCATCTAGCGAAGAGTGTAATGCAAAGCTCGTGTTTCGTGTCAATCTTGAGAAGAGTAGCTCTACTGCTGTATATGAATATTTCTCCGCAAAACTTTCAGAAACTGGGTTTGATAATGTAAGTGTCGGTGCCTGTAAATCATATTTTAGTGATATCAGTTATAGTGGTGTAAGTGATGTTGTCTGATTCATTATGGACGTGTATCCTACATGGTTAAATTCCTATGGGAAATTTATGTTTGTTTATAAATTTGAAATAGGAGGATACTAAGAGCCTGCTAAACCATAAAGTTCAAGATCAGGTAGAGATGATTCTCAAATATACTGAAGATGGAGATCTTCGCAAGTGGGATTTACCAGATACTAAGGCGTTCAATCTTGGACTCCGTGAATGGCTCTCAAAGTTAAACTGCATTAGTAATTCAAGCTTGTACGAGCAGGTTAAAGCTGACTCTAACTTGCGTTATCTGCATAGCATAACTTTCTCAAGCAGTACTCCGGGAGGGTTTTTTAAGTGAATTTTTTAGCAGGGGAACATAATATCATAGATAATGAACATAATATGGCACCTTATAATTGACTTAAGAGTTTCAACCTGCCAAACTGACTCCCTCTTCTGTCAATAAAAAGGAGAAGCTACAGGGCCCTCCACAATCAAACTTTTATAGTTTAGTTCACATTTACTTAATTTGGTTCCAGTTGTCCATGTAAACAGTTGATGGACATACACGTTGACGACCTAATCTCAAAGGGGAAGGCCTATCTCTCGTGTCGGCAGACTGCTTCAAATAAATTGCTGGATAAAGTTTTTAGAGTCCGGTTGGGCAGAGGACTTTATGGGGAGTGTTTGGTAAAATGCTTTTACCATCTTTCAACAATTTAAGTTATGGCCCCTTGATATTTTAATGCTGAAATCCATTGGGAATATTGATACTGTTGTTTGTCCATTATATTTGTATAGGGTGTTAGAGCTGATGGGAATTCAGATTTAAGTGATGAAATGGGTAAGGAACTCAGCCAAAGGAGTGCTGCAGCTGGATTAAGGTGGTTTTCTTTCGTTGCTGTCATTTTTAGGTTAATATGTGCTGTGCTTCTTTAGTAATTTTTTCTACTGTGATCTCTCCATAGCATAAAAACATTTGTCTTTGTTGATTGTTGGGAATGGGATTGAGTTTTAGAGTCAGTGACTCAATGTCTAGCCATTGACCCGAGTCATTACAACCTTAAGCACTGATAATATCATAATGTCATTACTCTAATATTATGGGCAAACCTCATGTGATACTGGACTGCAAAAGGCGGCTCTCATTTTGTTTGCTAGCCTTGCTTAATTACTATTTGTCTTAGATATGCCAAGCCACGTTTTTCAACCTTACCATAGGCTTATCTACACCTGCAATCTTAATAAGTAGTTTTTTGTGGCATAGCAATTTTGATAGACCATAAGATGAAAAACTTTTTGGATAATTCAAATAAAGCTAGAAGCTTTTGTGTTCGACAAACTTCCTATTTCGTACGGGGAATAATCTCTAATATTTGTATTATTTATATTTTTTTCTCTTATTGCACTGGCATTGTCTGCTTTATGCATGAACTTTCATTGAACTTCTACTTGTTTGAGTTATATTAGGTGTTCATATCAAATTCATTTATCTGGTTTGACCGCAATATACTAATTAATTTGTTAGCTAGGCTACGAAGCTACTTCTCAAATGAGATGACTTATTTTGTTTACTTGACATAAATTTGAAGTAAGGAAAAAACGATTTCCTTACCAAGAAATGGAACTGGGAAGCACCTTTCGGTTTTATACGAAAAAGTTCTTTAAAGAAAATACGAGTATTAACGGTTACCTGCCTGCTCTGACAGTATAAAGACGGATTATTACAACCCTCACCTACCTCTAGACACTCATAATGCATGGTTAAGAACACAGCTTACACATAATTTTTCATCTCTAAGCAACAAAAAAGAATTAAATATTTGCACTTTCAAATATGACTTGCAATAAGGGTATATAGATCTATTCAAATGTTTCAAGTCCTCAGCAGCATGACTTTCAGATCGATTAGATTGAAAAACTCACTCAATAAGTTTTGAATTGTCATAAAAAGGCCACAGTTGTCTATTGACCTGTTTTTTGTCTTGAACTTTGATTATTTGATTTTTTTTAAACTGCCCTAGTTCGTTTTATTTGACATATTGTGTAGGTATTATTAGAATCCCACATTGCTTAGGAAAATATAAATGATCCAGTGGTATCAGAGCCCATGGCCCAAAACTTAGTCGGAGAAACGCAGCGGAAAGCGTGGTGGAGGTCCCCCCTAATTAGCCTTGTGTCTGGCTATAAATCATCAGCGTTTAAGGTGCCTTGTATCGAAAGTCTTCCTGACATAAAAATATGGTGGTCAGGTGGCGGATCCCATTTGGTCGAGGGCGATAACAATAACGGCGGTACAAGATGATTGACTGATGGATTATCGTTTGAGAGGAGTCTACAGTGATGTGGTCCTTCGTTTGAGAGGAGGATTGTTGGGAGTAAAAGCTATGTGGTGTCCATAGCCCAACAAGTTAGATTTAATGTCTGACTATGAATTGATGTAATTTTACAAGTTAGTATGGTAAATTTCCTTACCAAGAAATGGAACTGAGAAGCACCTTTCGGTTTTATACGAAAAAGTTCCTTAAAGAAAATACGAGTATTAACGGTTACCTGCCTGCTCTGACAGTATAAAGATGGATTATTACGACCCTCACCTACCTCTAGAAACTCATAATGCATGGTTAAGAACACAGCTTAGACATAATTTTTCATCTCTAAGCAACAAAAAAGAATTAAATATTTGCACTTTCAAATATGACTTGCAATAAGGGTATATAGATCTATTCAAATGTTTCAAGTCCTCAGCAGTGTGACTTTCAGATCGACTAGATTGAAAAACTCACTCAATAAGTTTTGAATTGTCAAAAAAAGGCCACCGTTGTCTATTGACCTGTTTTTTGTCTTGAACTTTGAGTATATGATTTTTTTAAACTGCCCTAGTTCGTTATATTTGACATATTTTGCGTAGGTATGAATTTAGTGGACATAGTTTTGTTGGCATTAAACCTATTTATGGCCAGACAACACATTTTATCACACACTTCTATTGGATGGAGCCCATTACCAAATGTTACACTGTCAGCAATTAGTGTGAGAACTGTGGAGTGGGTATCAAATAATTCTATGATGTGAGCTATCTGTAGTCATGAATGATAAACTCCAAATTTTCCTCTTTTGACCAAAATTTGCTCTTGGTTCACTGGCTGAAACTTCATCTATCCTCTACGTGCAATTTTGTTTTATATTGCATTTTGGTCCTCTCCTGATTTACATATTGGGAGTGTCCAGGTAAAATTAAGAGTAACTTTTTAGGGGGAATAGTATTGGATCTCATGAAATGTGTGGTTGATGTATTGGTAGTATTTGTGAATATGTGGTTGAAATGACTGAATAGAAAAAATAACTTCTTAGCAACTTTTAGTTTTACACGACGACTAGAGGCAATGAAAAAAATGTTATCCTGGTTTGCAAATGGAAATTAGAGAAGCAGAAAGTGAAAATGAATGAGAGATAATGATAACCTTGTGAATTTCTTTTAAGAATGCTAGTGTTATGCACTTGCTTTGTTTCCAATTATTGGAGCACTGAAGTAGTTTGTAGCTGTTGCATGAAAGTCTTGCTTTGGCTTTGACCTCTGCAATTTCAAGTTACATGGGTACAACTACACTTTTCTGGGAGGAAAAAACACTATCAAATGCCTACATAAATATTGAATATCTGTTAATAGTCATGGCTATCTCTGCAGTTTTGAATTAAGTTATGGTTCCATTCATATCTAACTCAAATGTAAAATGAGATCATTGCTAACCAACTACGAGAATGATATTATTCTGAATGTATCTTTTGGTGACACAGGCCCATAGGAGCAGTCATATACATGCAGCGCAATAATCTGAAAATGTCTCTGAGGAGTATGGATGGCAGTGCTGATACCTCTGAAATTGCCAAGGTGAGCATCATCATGAAAAAAAAATCTACTTTTTGCTTCCCCTTGCCTCAATATGTAATGCTACCCTAAGGAAATGTAATCGTGATATGAATACAATTTTGTCTTGCATATTCAAAACACCAAGGCATATGGTGGAGGGGGTTCCCCAAGTTCCAGCTCCTTTATCATTCGGATGGATGAGTATAACCAGTGGCTTTCAGTGTAATCATCGATAGCATGCTAAGGTACCAATCATGTTCTTCTTGTTTCTCTTTAATTAACAAGGTCATACTACCCCTCCTCTCACCGAGGAAGAAAAGGATAAATGGGGGAAAAAGAAAGAAAGAAGGTAGCAGAGGACGAGGGTGGATACTATGACATTTACAAGAACAGCAGTGATAAAATTAAAATTTAGAGAAGAAACATCAAGTGTCGTAGATATCTCACGCAATATTGGAAGCGAATGGTTGCTGAAGTAAAGAAAATACCGCAGAAAGCAGGAGTGTCGTTTTGCAGTCGTTGGCTATATGCAGGAATGAATTAAGAAAAACAACCACTTGACAAATCTGATTACTACAAGAAAGGCCACATGGACGATACAACACAGGAAAGATCAGAACATTATATTTTGATCACTTATGCTTGTGTAATTATCTTGGCAATGTGTTCTTAATATTAGCATTCACCAAGTTGAGTACCGTATTTGCTATTCTTCTTCTTTACTCTTCAGGGGTGACGAATGATCAATCAAGTTTTCGTTAGTATTGAGTAATTCATATCTCCTCATTCAAGTTTACCTATACTGTTAGTAGTTCTATAGCCACTGCTTTTGTTGCAATTAGAATTAGAGGTGTCGAAAAGGGCGAGCCACTCATGCGTAGCCCTTACTTGGCTCAATTTGGGCATGGGCCGATTCGTTGAAATTTTGATGATATGCGTCTCTATAATCATGGATTTTTTATTTCTTCTGATATGTCGAGAGTGCTGTTACATATTTTCTCGAGAAATTTCGGAGAACGTTGAGATGTTATATGCAATGCAAATGATACTTTACTATGTAAGTGTTTCTTGAAAATTGCAAGCTACTGGTAGTCATGAACCTATTCTAGACATTTGAAATGTGCAAATGGCCGAAGCAGCATCGGTTTTCAGTCTTTTTATACAAGGGAATTATGAATTTTTTGATAATTACAGCAAATGCTTGCCTGGTGGGAGATTTTTCTTTGATCTTTTCTTTTCAAATAAATACTTGTCGAAATGAAACATGATCATTAATCAACATGCAATTCCAGAAAAAATATTCCAAAGAGAACGATATCTTTGGCCATAGACTATAATATTCTCCAAGTAAACTCATTTTTTATCTGCATAAATTGTCCTCTGCTGAATTTGAATAGTCATATTTCTAAAGGATTAATGTATTCACTTGCTTTGAGCAAAATGGCCCATATTTACCTAAAGGCTTCTTTGGTAACATTTATGCAAAGCCAAAACATGCTCTAGACTATTTACTGTCGAGGCTGATTGCAGGAAAATTCAGCGCAAACAGAGCATTTCAACACGACGGAACTGCTTTCGATAGTGGGACGAAAGTCGCGAAAGCACTGAAACGTGGCTAAGGCAGAATTCTAGAAGATTTTTTAAACCATAAACCATTATTTTGATGCAAGAAATCTGTGGCATGAAACAGGGATTGGTTATTGAAAGGCTCAATGCAGATATGGAAGTGTGGAAAAGTTTATGAAGGATTCAGATTTTTTAAACTTGGCCTTGGAATCAAATTAATCTTGGACATCCATTTGAATTGTATTTTCCTACAAATACCATGTTCATATCATTATAAAGCATAGAGTGAAAATGAGGATAAACATTTGTGTGATTGTTAAGTTATCTTTGGAATATAAAAGGCGGATTCTCTTGACCTTGGTTGTTCTTGTTCTATTTTTTTCCTTATTTTCCTTAAGGTCAAGAGAGCAGTAAATCTCAAATGGTAAAATCCGTAGATTGATTGAATGTTGGCTTAACGTGTTTTTGCAAGGTACAGAAACTTTGAGACCTTAAGGAGTTGCAGTACTAGAAATAGTTGGAAAAAAACTATCCATACACACCGATTAATGTAAAATGATTCACATCGATTGCAATTTTGAAGCCAATGGACAGCAGTACTCACCAAGCCAAATTGGAGCTTTTATTCTGACTAAGATGAAGGAAACTGCTGAGGCTTACCTAGGAAGTCTGTAAACAACTAAACAAGGCTGTGATAGCGGTTCCAGCTTGTTTTAATGATGCTCAAAGGCAGGCTACGAAAGATGCTGGCAGAATTGCAGGTCTTGATGTGAAAAGGATAATCAATGAGCCAACTGCTGCTGCCCTATCCTACGGTATGAACAACAAAGGGGACCTTATGGTGTTTTTGAGGTATGTCAAGTTTGTGTTCAAGTTCTCTGGTCTTTGTCATCATGTTTTTTTTTTTTGCCAAGATAGAGCTTTCTTTGACATCTCAGATTGAAATCAACTTGCCTTATATAAATGCCAATGCATCTGGAGCAAAGCATTTGAATATAACGTTGACCAGATCAAAGTTTGAGACTTTGGTGAACCACTTGATTGATAGAACTAGGACTCCTTGCAAAAGTTGTTTAAATGATGCCGGTATTTCAACTAAAGAAGTGGATGAAGTCCCTTTGTTGGAGGCATGACCCGTGTCGCTAGGGTTCGGGAAATTGTTGCTGAAATCTTGGCTAGTCCCCAAGCAAATGGGTGAATCCTGACCATGCAGTTGCCATGGGTGCTGCTATTCAGGGTGGTATCCTCCGTGGTGATGTTAAAGAGTTGCTTCTCCTGGACGTGACCCCCTTATCACTTGGTATTGAGACTCTGGGAGGTATCTTTACTAGATTGATCAATAGAAATTGTAACGCCCCAAATTCTAGGAATTCAAAGCGTTAAAAATTTTCTTAATTTGAGCTCTTCAATGTCAACCAAAATAAATTTCAAATAAGGAAAATTTGTAGTTGGAAATATATTATAAAAATACGATGGGAGATAATTGCCTATATAGACCTAGACAATTATGGTAAAAACCTAGCAAACGTCAACTAATGTTTGAAGCACGAAATCATTTTTTAACAGAGACTAAGACATTCATATACGTACATCAGGTAAAAAATTGAGCTTGCTTCGATAACGTTTGAAGCACAAAATCATTTTTCAACTATGCTGGACAAATATTTCGAAACTGACTCGACGCAGTCTACCAAAATGAACATAATTTTTTCTCTAGCTAATAATTTAGGGTAATTCCAAATACCACTGTTAGAAGACTCGTAGATATTTCAAACCCAACTGATTTCACTCAAAAATATGCACCATAGCCCAAGTTATATCATTTTTAAATAGGTAGACAGAATCTGAAATTCAATACAGCAGTGAATAAACTTCATATGTAATCGTTCAATCGTTTCTAAATTATAGTCGACATGAAATGTAAATAAAATTAAGAAAAATTGAAAGTCAAAACATATTAAAAGTGATGTCTAAGTGTTTATAAGAGATTTAAACAAATGAAAATTTTATTAGGAAGTTAAATGCATTCTAAGTCACCGAGCACTTGCCACCACTCCATGCCACTGTCATGCCTTCAATTAACCTATAAATTTTGTAGGGATGAGTATCACGAGTAATACTCAATAGGAAACACTTAAATAAATGGTAAAAAAATATATATTTTCAGAAATGTAACTTTGGTTATTTGTGTCATCATAAAAAACAAACCGGTGATCAATCAATCCGTTTACTCTCGGGTTTTATTAATCCCGTTCTTGTGTCATAAATCATCTCTTCATCTCTTGTTTGAAACACCAAAGGGTGCTTCTATTCTCTCATGAGTAACACAATAACATGTTAAATGCAAATCGAAAACAAATAATTTTTACTTCACTTACAAAAGTGTCGAAACACTCCTACCTTGAATGATTGGAGTTTGAATAACCTTTATGCAACCAATTTGTAGTAAAATGCAGCGTACTCTTAGCCTTTGATTAAGAAAATATGCAAATTGAAGGTGCCTTAAGTTTATAAAGTAACTTTATGTATAAGTATTTTAGTTTGGGAGAGAAAATATGGCTTTAGGGATTTTAGAAAGCTTTGCCTACCAAATACAAAATGAAAAAGGGAAATGGCTACTTATAAAAGCAAATGAAAATGACATAATTTATAGGTGCATAATGGGTCAAATTAAGAGGCAACGTGACTTTTCAATTGCATGGCAGTTTCTTTTTTTATATATATATATAATTATCATTATGAGTTTTAATTATTATAAGGAAATTAATGTATTAATCATGTTTAAGGTATCAAAATGTTTCAACTTCCTAACCGTACATATTGAAATTAAAGTTTTCTATTTTATTATTTTATTTTATTTTTTATTAATAGAATATAGAATTTTGATTACTTTTCTACCTACCAGAACAACTCGAATATAAATAGATCAAAATCATTCATTCTCAAGTCCACTTTATTTTGTTTAACACGAGCTTCAAAACGAATATGATATATGATATATTTTATCAACTTCTAAAATGCTATAGTTATTCGACCCAAATAAGATTTACAATAAATTCTATACACATACATAA